TTCTATTTCAGCTTCTTCAGCAAATTTTAGCAAGTAAGTTCGACGCCCAGCATTCACACTGCATTTTACACAAAATTATATTCCTCTAGTCTAGTTGTTTACTTCCGTTTCAGTGACATATACTAAATATTCACTTAACTTTTATAACAGTTTTAATGATTAATCACTATTTGGATCAGGAATATTATCTCTTGTCATGTGGTTATAAATAATGAGATGCAGTAGTTCCTTATTTATCTCAGGGGATCCACACCCTGAAACCCCGCGATAAGTGAAAATCCACAAAGTAGAAATAGTAGTACAAGTAGTAATTTAGTATTTATACAGTGCATACATATATATATATATATATATATATATATATATATATATATATATATAAAGGCTTTTTAAACCCTTCCCACACTCTTGCAATATTCTAATTTCTAAGCAATGTTTCTAAACTCTAAACGATCTAAAAGAGCACAGAATGTCATGACTTCCCTCTATCTGCCTCATCTGCTCTTTGTCACCTGCAAGCGTTCTTGGCCACGCCCACTTTTCCACTCTGCACAGAGAACAGCTGATCAGCTGCAGGAGGAAGCTTATCCTGCAGTATGGGCTGCACAAAGTTGCAGGAGAAAGCTTTTTCTTCAGCTCTGGGCTGAATAAATGTGCAGCATTGTAAAATAATTCATTTTAAATAAAAAATCCTTGCAAATCGTGTGGCTCATCAATCAATCAGCAAATCTTATTTTGAAAAACTGCAATAGAGCAGGTCCAGGATAAACGAACCGCGAAGTAGCGAGGGACTACTGTATTTTAAAATGAAACCTCTAAATTGTATTTAAAACACATAGCTCCACAGAGATGACAAACATCAGCTTTAATCAACATTTACAGTTTTCTGTTGACCACGGGAAACAATAGAGGTTCTAATGTTGTTTTAATGTTACACATGAAGTTGTGTCTTTGCTTTATTTTGTGATATTATTTTTTCCTTTGGATTCTGTTGTTTTCCTGTCCAGTTTCGATCTCTTGTGTTTTTGTATTTCTTGTGCCATCTCCCATTTACCCTCAGTAAGCAGCCTCAGGGTTACTCCAGTCAGCCTGCCACCCTCACCTGTCCCCAATCAAAATTCAGCCCAAGTGTTCCCACTTTCAATCCAACTCAGTTTTGTATTTATACGGTCCTTTGTCTCTTCCTCACCAGCCGTTCATTATTCTGAATCCCTGTCACTTTTCTTGTGCTTCCCTGTGTTTTTGTGAGTGGTTTGCTGTGATGGGGGATGTAAAGGTCATGGATGTTTTTCACTTACTAATGTCAAATTGATATAGAACCATGTATGTGAAGACGAGAGCATTTCTGTCTACTCAGAGAGGAGCCTGATAAATGAAAATTGATAGGTGATAAACTCTGATGCTTCCAACTACAGTGAGCTATTAAGCAAAGGTCGTCTTGACCTCGCCTCTGTCTGATATCGGGTATTTAAGCTTTTGTCAACTCTTTCGCTGTGAATAGACCTTGTGATCAGAGCGACATGTAACATCTTCATGCTTGTATTTCCAACTGCTGCTCCTCTTGTAAGATTAAACCTGGGTTGACAACCTTCTCGTTCTCCTCTTTGTGACTATTTGATTAATGAGTTATGATAGGATAATTAAATTATTTAACGTTTTTGGTCCTTCGAGTCGAGTTATCCAACAGCTGCCTCGTCAGCTTTTGTTTTGTTAACATAAATTATTTTTATTTTTACGCTGGGTACCACTTTATATTAAGGCTCCCCTTATAGATGGCTAATAAATAGTTTACATATTTGTTATTAATTCCTCTATAAACACTTTATGAATCAGTAATAACTGCTTATTATGCATTAATTAAGGGCTAGAAAGAGACAAAACTGAAGTTTCTTGCCAGATACTGAGCCAAATCTGTTCATCTATATATTTCATCTAGAGTTGTTATATTAAACATTTCAGACTAAGTTACTACCTTGTAATCACAATAAGCATTTGTTAACCTATTTTTTTAGGATATACTATTGTACTTTATCACTGAATTATAAGTATCTACTATAGATACTTATAGTATCTAGAGCAGCGGTGCCCAAACTTTTTCCCTGAGAGGGTCAAATTTAAAATCTATCAGAGGGCTGTGTGCAAAATGCAACAATATAATACCATCCATCCATCCATCCATCCATCCATCCATCCATTATCTTTACCCGTTTATTCCATTTTGGGTCACAGGGGTCGCCGGTGCCCATGTCCAGCAATCACTGTGCGAGGGGCGGGGTACACCCTGGACGGGTCGCAAGTCCATCACAAGGCCACATAGAGACAAACGAGACAAACAACCATTCACTCTCTCACTCACACCTAGGGACAATTTAGAGTTACCAATCAGGCCAACATGCATGTTTTTGGACTGTGGGAGGAAACCGGAGTACCCGGAGAAAACCCACGCATGCACGGAGAGAACATGCAAACTCCACCCAGAAAGGCCCCTGGACCGGGGTTTGAACCAAGGACCTTTTCACTGAGAGGCAGCAGCTCTACCAGTTGTGCCACCGTGCTGCCCACAATATAATACATGAAATGCAAATACTTCTTTAAGTAAAGTCCATTTATTTTTATAGTTATTTAACATTACGTTCTGTATAAAGAACATTATAGAACACAAAATATAACAAATAAGTCATATATAAGAAATTAAAACATATATTGAAATTTTAGCATTTCAGTATAATTATATTTAGTGCAAAATGTAAAAAAAAATGCATGTCCAACAGCAACACAACTTAACAGCAACAATAATATGGACATAAATAAACAGTCCCATATATAGTCATTGGGCTGACATTTCCATCTAACATTAAAGTCAATGGGTGTAATAACTGAGTGAAAACACATTGATTCTTCAATGGAAATTTATTATAGTAACGAGGACAGCTTGGTGGGCCAAATCAAACGGCTTGACGGGCCAGCTTTGGCCCACGGACCCCACTTTGGGCACCTCTGATCTAGAGGATTTTGTGCAGATTTTGAGTGAATATTGTTGGCGATAGGACTCCTAGCATAAATATCTATAGTCGTAGATACTTATAATGCAGTGATAAAGTACAATATTACGGTATATGCTAAATCAATACATTTACAAATGCTGTTTGTGCTAAAAATGTAGTAAATTAGTCTGAAATGTTTAATATAACAACTCTAGATGAAATGTATAGATGAACAGATTTGGTTCACTATTTGGCAACGAACTGGTCAGTTTAGTCTCTGTCACCCTTAATTAATGCATAATAAGCAGTTATTAATGATTCATGAAGTGTTTATAGTGGAATTAGTAACATATCTATAAACTACAAAGTCCATACTCAATAATCCAGGTATACAATCCAACATTTTTTAGTCAGGTCATCTGGACAGTTTCTTTCTTTATGTTGAAACGTTAATCAGGAATCAGTTTTGTGTTGTGTGTTTCCTTGACTGATGAAGGCTTCCGGATTGAAGGTGAGACGTTTCAGCACAAAAAAATAAACTGTCCGGATGACCTGACTGAAAAATGTTGGATATCTATAAACTATTTGTTAGTATCTATAAGGGGAGCCTTATTGTAAAGTGGTACTTTATGCTGAGCTCTTCGTGTCTGCCTGCGTCTGGGTCCTTACCCCTGACCTTTATACATGATAGTTGATCTTACATTATGTAATTGTAGTTTAATTTGTTACATTATTCTTTGATAATATACACAAACCCTCAAATTATTTTTTCCCCTCAGTATATAAATTACTTATGATTTTGTATTTTACTGACATGCACATCTCGTTCAAACTGGCAGTATTTGAATATCATGGCGTTGTGCCTGCTGCTAAATAATGGTGTGCTGTGATTTCTGCTTTATCTCTCATCTCTGTGTTGTTAAAGACGATGAAAGGATCATTCCTTGAAGGAATGCACATCTCCCTCTACCTCCCATGCTAAGGATTGAACAAAGATATTTTTATATAATAATTGTACTCTTCCCAATGGGGAAATTAATTATCTGCATTTTTCCCATTGCACATGTGAGCACACATGTGTGTGTGTGTGTGTGTGTGTGGGTGGGGTGGTGGTTTAAGGGCCTTGCTCAAGGGCCCAGAGAGTTGATCGGCGACCCTCTGATCACAGGCCCACTCTCTATATCCTCTGCACCACCACTCCCCAATCTTGTGCTATCTGTTAGCGCTCAGATCATGTGATAAGGATGACTTTCACCTACTACAATGGCAACGCTTTGAATAAAGTTATTATTCATGTTCATAAATATTAGGAAGTTAAATGTTTGGTCATCCTGAGTTTGAAGCTTGTCGGTGTAGAGTTAAGGATGTCCTGAAATAACCTCCCCCAAGTTCAGTCAGGGTTTACTTCACGGCCTTTTCTTAATATGAAAATGTAACATTTGTTTTATTTATTTTGGCTTAATGGGAGTCAGTGTAGCAAGTCCTCCCTCCACCAGCACCTCATGTCATCCTCTTTGATTAATCAGCTCGGAGCGGCCCCCCCATCCTTAACAGCACTGGGAAAAGAGTGTATTTATAAACTTTGACTTTAGTCTGCATGCCTGCAAGTGTGTGTCCTGGTGTGTGTGCCTCAGTGGGTGGTGCACCCGTCCTCCAGGAAACATCCGCTGACAGCAAGTGTCGCCAAGGGAACCACAGATGCTGTCTTCCTGCTTTTAGTGTAACCATGGTGATATTTCCTTCAGCGACGTGTTGTCTGCTCGCCTCACTGTCAAAAGATGTAACACACACAGTCTGCAGAGGGTGGATTTGGGGAAATGGCACCTGTCGGATGAGCAAACAGCTGACAGAGCAGTGTGACAGATAAACTCAGCTGCAGGTTTTAGTCCGTCTCTGTGTGGATGGAGATGCATCTGGTTTACTGCTGCACATTTGAGTGTGAGAGGATCCTTGATGATCAGATTAAGTTTGACAAATCAAAAGTTTGAAACTCGTTTTGCATTTTGTCTCCTTTAGGCCCTGGGATGATGTCAACAATGATGACATCTAGTGGACGCCAAGACCCACCGGGACAGACCGCCTTTGGATCTGACTACCTGTCGGGTGAGGGTTGAAGGAGCGCTGCTCAGCAGTTTTCACCCACTGCATTGCTCCTGCTTTAACCGATGACATGACTGCATGGTCCTGGCCAGGAGTATTGATTTATACCTCAGCTAACTGACTAACACATCTTTTTTTAGTGTTATAGGCATTTTGGTGCCTTAAAAATAACCATATGTGAGATCTTGTCCAAATCACAAGATGACACGTTCAAAGTATGTGTTGAGGATAAGTATGAGCTATGACCACTTCATATTTTTGTTTTATTTCTTGAAGTCCACAAACAAATTTTATGATTTAAACTGATTTATCTTATGATAAGCAAAATTACAATTTCAGCACCTGATAATGGTAAAAACCTTTCATATTACTTTATTTATTTGACATCTTTCTGTTTTACCATCTTCACTCATCTGTTTCTGTGATGGGCGGGCTGACAGGTTGAGCACAGACAGCAGCTTGCTGAGTCATTTCTGCCTCCCATCTCGGTGAATTTCAATCAATAATTCTGTTTTTTATTGCTTTTTTTTTTTTCTTTTCTCTGTTTCAATATGAATGTAGTGCAAATAAATTGTGTAAATATTTGATAGATGTTTTTTACCACTTAAAATAATGAGAGAGTTGGTTTATTTCTGTTTAAACAACCCAGGAGCTAAAGCATCTTAGTGCAAGTTGCTGTTTTATGTCTCAGTTTCAGCTCTTCTTCTGTGCTTCAGATTCAAAGCTGCCATACGTATGTGGGTCACTGCATTAGAGGCTTTATCTTTGTCCTAGAAATTTGTTATTCTGTTCACACACACACTCACCATTTGCTTCTTCTTTCAGGGCTGGTATAAGCAATGACTTTTCTAATATCATTTAACCACAACATGACTACTTAGACAATTTTTTTTTTTTTATTGTATTTCAGGTTCTTCTATTCATATAAACCATGCTCAACGTTTGATAGTTTGAATTCAGTAAGATAATAAGAAATTTAAACAAAAATGACTGAAGTAAGATTTAGATGGACAAATGTAAAACAGCTAATGTTAGAAAATGAAAATTGTGAATTGGTTTGTTCCCGTTTGGTCACTCATCCATTTCTCAGTGCTTTATTGTGTGTTCAGGTGTTTTTTTAATTGAAGCCTTCTGTGCAACAGTGGAAAATGTTATTTACATGATGACATGTCATAGGCTTGAATCTAATCAAGCCGTTCATTAAAAGCAGTAAAGAAGGTGAAAGGTAAACACCGTTTTTTCTAGTGTTTGTATTTTAAATAAATAAATACATAGATAAATAAAAATGGTTTATGCTGCACTACATATTTGTCATCTTGTTAAATTGAACATTAACATTTGCTGATTGTTCTGAGTGGCTGCAGCTAAACTACACTGTTAACATAATTTATGAAACAGACATTGAGAAGAGACCATGTGCCAAAATGCCTTTGCTGCTTTTTAACATAAATTTATGTTTTTATGACCTACAAATAGCTCATGACTTGTTTTATGTTTTTCTTAATCGTCAGCATGTTGTCATGATATAATGAGGTAGTTGGTTTTAAGATTGGCTAAATCAATTTTTATTTTGCTTAGATTTTTTCCCCCATAAAAACAGAGAATACAGTTGTCCCTCACTTATCGTGGTGGTTACGTTCCAGACACCCTGGCGATGGGTGAAGATCCGCAAAGTATGGACATTATCTAAAAAAAGTTAAGTCTGGCCCTCTGGACATTCAAAAAAACAAAACAAAAAATAATAAATTAAAAATAAATAAATAAATAAAATATAGAACCATTTCGTCTTTCATCCGAAATGTTTCTACATTATTTATTTATTTGTTTATTTATTTATTTATTTTGTTTTGCTTTGTTTTGTTTTGTTTTTTGAATGTCCAGAGGGCCAGACCTAACTTTTTTAGATATTTCTACCTGGATTATTGAGCATGCATCAGGATAGGGACATTATGTTTATTTTAGTATATATATATATAAACCTTTCCCATACTTGGGAAATGTTCTGAACTCTCTAAATGCTCTAAAAGAGCACAGTGAAAGAGAGCAGACAGACTGATAGTACAGTCACTGAGCCAGTCAGCACCCGGGGGCGGACTGGCCATCGAGAGTGGACTAGCCATTGGGAGCACCGGGACATTTCCAGTTAGGAAAATGTTCTGGCTCTGTTCGGGTCAGGTCTGCTCGGTTTTCGTTAAGGTTCGGTTCTGGGCGCATTTGATTATTTTAAATAAACAATCCATACTGCTCACTCTAGTATCTGCCTCACTGAAGCTCCCACAGCAGTGATGGGGAAAGACAGACCACACCCTGCCCCCTCCTTTCTCTTTCTGGGGCTGACAGCCTCAGAAAGAGAAAGGAGGGGGCCCCTCAGCAATCACTTGAGTGGCCAGGCCACTGGGAAGCGTTAGCTATGTTTACATGGACATAAGTAATCGATTAAATGGCCATTCAGAATAAAAATGTGTCATGTAAACGCCTCATTCTGATTATTCTTTGTTGATTCAGCTCGATCCAAAATAATTTGTAATCAGAATGATACGGGTGGTTTATGCCGATTCATAATACGAATGGTGTGCATGTAAACAATCTGTTCATTTTATTCCGATCATGGAAAACTGACCTGACTGTGCATGTGCGACCTATGTCTACCTCACATATTTCCACCCTACTTGATGTTAATATGTCGAGGAAGCAAAACTGGTCGGTGAGCGACGCAGCATTTGTACTAGAAACTTTGAAAGAGCTCAGAATGATCTGTATTACCTGTAGCTCAGTCAGGGAGTGCAGTAACGTCTCAATCGTCATTAAAACAGAACTTCTTCTGTGTTTTGTTGTAAGGAGAGTTTACCACTCTGCGCATGTCAGTACTTCGATTCAGAATAAAAACCTGCTGCATGTAAACGCTCATCGGGAACAGATTGTACCCATTTATAAATAAAATTGATTGAATTGATTGCTGTAAACGATACATTTGGATTATTTTATCTGAATACATTTCAATCTGATGAAAGGATTTGCACATGTAAACATAGCTAGTGTGTACAATTTATACATTGAAAACCTGCAAAATAGTGAGTCCGCAAAAGTCGCCCCACGAAATATCGAGGGAGTACTGTAAAGATAGAAATAGCAAACTAAATGACAGAAACGTTGATTTGGCTCCAAACCCTCCGTCTAAAATCTACATAAAACCACTTTGCTGAAATGTGTATTTACTTATTTCAGCTTGAAACACTCAGTTAATAATTCTTATGATTCTTTGAAGGAGAAGTGTTTGATATCGATACGTTGATATACAAATCTGTAAAAGTTGTTTATATGTCACAGTCTTATTGAAGAACTGTGAAAAATATCAAAGCTGTGTGTGAAAAATAAAGAATATCTCGTGGTTTGGCTAATTGTAAAACAGGCGGCACAGACTCAAAGCGGGAGTTTAACTGTCTCTGTGTTTCCAGTGGAGTTTGCAGCTCTTTAAGCTGCTGAAAGTTGTTAAGTTGTTGAATCCCTGCGTGAAGTGTCACATTTCCAGAGGAGACTCATTCACAAACCCTTAGAATCTGAAGACGTCCTCACTTTTCTCTGTGATTGTCAGTTTGTTTGTGACTCCTCTGTCTTCTTTCTGTTCATCAGGTTTCTCTCAGTCTGGGGTGGGTGGGACCATGGGGTCCAGCTTGCCACCATTCCAGACCACTATGAGCTCCAGTTTTGGACAGACTGGGATGAGTCCGGCTATGGACACCCAGAAGAGCTCAGGCCTGTTTGGTATGGAGAACAAAACCAGCAGTAACGTCAGTGGGAGCGGTCCTTTTAACACCACCAATCCGTTTTCAACCAGTGGCCCAGGAATCCACTCCATGGATCACTCTGCAGGTATTAAAGTGGCTTAGCTTCATGTCACATCTAATGGTGGGAAAACATGCTGACAGTTTTAAATTGAACGTGAATTCCTACTTATGGGAAGCTAAAACATTAAAGGTGGGCCTGGGTTTCTGCAGCAGGTGGATGGAAACAGCCTGATCACACAGGACAGGTTTTCAGCAGCAGAGGGCAGCCTTTTCTAGCTGTTTGCACCACCCCTGGTGACACCTCAGCTTTGTTCCTCTCACCGCTGGTCGCCTTATGGCTTCACAGTCCATGCACCTCGCTGTTCTCTCTCCACTGACAACAAACATCTGCAGTTTCAATGTCCTCCTTATTATTTGCTGCAGTCTTGAGAGAAAACCGCTCCCTGTAGGAAAATTACAGCTCACCGAGACACTATAGGTGCCTTTTTTAATAAATTGTTAATGTTTGTCTTAATCAATTGCTGCACAAGGGAGTACAAGCTGAACATGGGGTCATTTTAAGGTTGCCAAGCAACTAAAACGTTTACCCAAAGGGGAGGTTTATGTCATGACTTGTGACTGCCTGAAAGCTGCGTTTCCAGCTGTAAAGAGACGTGTGGCGCTGCCACTTGTTTCATCAGTTAGGTCAAATTTTACTTTAATGTCCATCCTGACGCTCAATTTATATCTAAAATGATGTCAGTAAGCAAAAATCTAAATGATGTCTAATGCATTTATTTATAGCTCGGTTGCATTTTTTTAAAATTAATATAGTAAAAATAGCTCATAGTACTTAAAGCAAGCTGAGTTCAAGTCTTCTGCTTCAATTATTTGTGATCCAGATTAGTGACACAGATGTGTGCACTGCATATAAAACTGAAAACCAGCAGTGAGCCCAATGAAGAAAAACCCGTCAGTCCAAAAGACTGGTGACTGCAGAATAGTGGCTCTCAGTGGCTGCTCTAAAGGCTTGTACACCACACATTCACCTTTAAAAGCATGCATCTGTGCTTGTTTGGCACTAAAAATAACCTCCTATTGTTCATTAAATTTTCAGAGACAACCAAATGCGGCTATTTTAAAATTCAGAGCTCAGCCGTCTCTACCTCCTCACAGAAAACCTGCAGTGACCCAGAAAAAGTCCTCTTGTAGACGACAACCATCAGCCGTTTCATATTTTCAGCTTGTAAGAATTTTGACATAAAATCTTGTGAGTCCTTCAGTCAAAACTGAGTGGAGTGAATGACTGCTAAGAGAAAATAAGAGATCTGTTTACAAACTGAATGTCAGCAGCGTGTTGTTTATGCAGCGTTACAAAAAGGCATTCTAGCGAAGAACTTATGAATCATAAAAGGAGCAACACTAATGTTTTCAAAGGTTTTGAGCTTGATCTAATAGACATTTTTCAGAGGAAGTTCTGGTGAACATTTAAGAAAACTCACCAACGTTCAATAGCTGAAATCATCAACAGCCTTGATCCAAACCCTTCTTCAAGACGGATAAGAAGAAACATTTAGCATGAGCTGTTCCTGCACTAAAGGAACCAGACTAAATCCTGGACATTTCACCTGCTTCTGCTTCTCACCTCCTCTTGGATTATTTCCCTCAAATCTAGAAAGAAACCCATTTTAAAGAAAGGTTCATCACTAATTTAGGTTTATTTCTATATTATCTGCTGATGTAAATAAGTTCTGCTTTAAAAAAAAAAATCAAATGTAGAAAAACTACATTAAAAGTATAAAAACATGCTACAAGTCTAAAATTCCTTGTGTTGCAGATATTACATGTCATAGCAGAGTTCATGAGATTTTTAGTAGCATTTAAACAGCTCTACTTTCTGTCTGACATTTGCATCCTTGTGTTTCAGGTAAAATGATGTCACGATATGTAAAAACTTTTCAGTATTTTGTTGTTGTTGTTTTAAACATTGTATAATTTGCTCTTGTTGACAACCTAAATAGAGTTTAAAATTGTGGTGGTTTTTATTTTCAGTTCTGACGGTCTGTAGGAATGCAACAAAAAAGTGTATAATTGGCAAAAATATGTTGATTTTATCTGCCAGCAGAAGTGCCATCATGCCCTGCATCAAATCATCAAGCATGCTGTTAATTTCATCCATCTTCGTAATGTCATCCCTTTGATTCAGAAGACTTTCTGACTGAGGTGTTGTTAATTTAAAGGAAAAAGCTCCTTTTGAGCTACAAGACATCTGCAGGACTCTCGTGATAAAGCTTAAACATGCTACAGCTCATGTCCAGCTGTGCTTGCACTGCCTTCATCCACATATTCATTGTCTGTGCAGTGGAAGTCTGCATGCATCTTCACTGCAATCCTTTTTTTTTTGCACAAAGTTTGAGCCTACCTTCTGATTTGTTTAAATCAACAACTTCTCAAACATTTATTGTGTTTCCTGGCTACAGTCCATACCGAGAAGCACTTCTAATAAATATGTAAAATATGGACGATGACTCCTCTTCTGCTTCTTTATAGCAGATTAGTTTTCACATCACAGACTAAAACAGTTTATTAGTTTTATTTGAAGTGTAGGCAGAGGTGCAGATTTCAAAGGAAATGTAATGTTGTCTACATCCTGTTAGGCAGGAGTGTATAGGAATAGGATGCTGAAAGCTGAGATGTAAAAACGTGTAAGTCAGGGAGAAGAACAAATGAGCAGATTTAGAGAGGGGAGGTCAGGTCATGCATTGCATTTTACTCTTATCTTTTGTCTTCTGTCTGTATATTCATCTCCCTCGCTCTGCTCATTTGTGAACTTGTGAAATGCTTGTCAGTACTAGTTGAGAAACATGGTTTCAGGGAGAAAAGCCATGCCCAGCTGTAATATCACCACCCCGAAACAAGAACAGACAAGGAAGTTCACTTCAGTGCAGACTGATTTCTTTGGGTTTGTTAGCGCTACAATGTGCCTTTGTTTTGCGATTCTGTATTTCACTTGTTTTGTTTAAGACGTCACTTTACATTTGTTGTACGACTCTTCAGATATGTTTGCATTCGACTAGATTATGCACGCTACATCCTGTATGATATGCGCTCGAGTTATTCGTCTTATTAAGTTGCTTCGAAGCTCTGCAGCTCCCAGCGCTCGAGTGTGTGTGCTCGCTTCACAAGAACAGCTTTGTTCTCTGGATGACGATGATGAAAAGAACAGAATGAGAAACGCATCAAACGTTCACAGTGTTTACCTGACCTGAAGCACACTTCATTTGCTTCTGCGTTGGTTTGGGTGAACTTTCCAACAGCAGCTTTACAAATTCCTGTGTACGTGTGTACGCAAGTAATCAACAGCAGATCCAGCATGAGATGCTGCTCTTACACAGGCAGATATTCCTAATTCACATCACCTGATAATCTGTAAATCGGTAATGGAGAGCAATAAAAAAGGAAGATGAGAACAACACTTATTTTTTGTCATTACAAAATCAGGCACCTTCACATACTCAACACGGTAAATGTTCTAAATGTTGAAAAAGAGCCAAAAAGCAGACGGTATCATCTGTCTCAAGTGTTTTATTTATTGAAACAATACATGTGGAATGCATTTTATTCTAGCATCTGTAGCAGTACCTGCTTATAATTCCTGAAGAAAATGTGAACTATTACAGCTGGTTCTAACACGAGCCAATAAACATTAATAATTCTCCCAGAATCACATTCTCAATCCAAGTGAGTTTAATTTAAACCTAGTCTTTGTTTCAAATGAAACATTTGTGAACCGTGCTTCAAACTGCGCTTACTGAGAAACAGCAGTGCAAAAAAGTTCAAATGTTGATTTTTGCCGTAACTGAGATTTGCATGATATTGAGTCCATAAAGACACCATCTAGCAATCCATGCATTTAAAATATCAGGTCAACTTCCTAATCTAGCTTTGAGTCTGTCTGCTAGCAGGTATAACTTCTGAAATAATCCTGTGTCTTTAACCCCTTATCATTTCATTTTATATCATGTTGGGTGTCATTGTGAAGCTGAAGCATTTTCTGTTTAAATATAGGTGGGAATTCCTAATGAAATCTCTCCAGACCAATAAAAATCTAGATTTCAGACAGGCTTGCTCATAAACAAAACTAGGCTGTCATCAGACCAGGAGACAAAGAGCCAAATTTCAAAACTATAATTTTAAAGCTTTTGAGATGGGGAATTTGAAAGATTCCTTCTTGTAACTCATATTGCTTGCAAAGGTCACATTTTACAGTTTCTAAACAAATGGATGTTGTCTATTAAAAAAAAAAAGTAATCAGTACCAATGCCAAACCACAAGGTGGTAACAAAGCTGACATGAATCCTGTCTCAAATGAAGAACATTCTCATCATGGCTATGATTTATCTTATAATAATAATAATAATGTGTTAATTGTCTGTTCCCATACAATGGTGAAATTGGCTCTCTGCATTTAACCCATCCACCACCAGGTGGAGCAGTGGGCACCTATTGAAAGCACCCGGGGAGCATTTAGGGATTAGGTGTCCTGCTCAGAGACCCCACGAGATGTGCAATGACCGGGGATCGAACCTGGGACTTTCGGGTCTCGAGTTGGCTGCCCTGCATCTACCCTATCTCGGCCCCTATATATTTTTACATAGTTTACCATAATTATTCAATCATTGACCTTTTCTTTATGCGATCATAGTTTAATAGCGAAAGAGCTGGGAAGAATTTTGTCTGATGAGGAAAATTTTTTAGAACGGTTTTGTTATTTGTGCAGTTTCTAGCATACTAAACAAGTTAGCATGTGCGTCATCGTTTCTCAGAACGTTTGTTAAATTAACACAAACATATCAAAAACTGACTTTAAATATCAACACTTTCAAGATCATTTGTAACAATCTTTGTTTTTTCCATTGACAATGTTTGTATGGAAATAAGAGGTGCGCACGCAGCAGAAAAAAATTGTTTTGAAAAACAGTATGTTAGTGTGGACGGGGCCTTAATCTGGCAAACCCATAAGGTGTTTTTACTCGGAAGTTTCGGAGTCTAGTTTTACTGAATGTCTAGGAGAATGTTAGAAATATCTATATGTAACACTGAATA